ACTTTTTTAGGGATTTTTAATTTTTCCGTCAAAAATAAAACTCTTTTTGTGAGTTTTTTTCCGTCAGTAAATACAACTCTTTTTATGTAAATAAACATATAGAGTTCGTTACCAGTTATATAACCATTGACCTAATAGTCAGGGGAATAATTCTTTAATTAATATACATGATTTCGTACACTAGACTATTTTTTAAAATTTTATAACAAATATTTTTTACCTCTGTACACTTATTGTAATAAGGACAGTGACTTATAAATTGTAATTTTATAACTGATTACAAGTTGTATAAGCTTCATTACGTAAAATGGGCTTTATTTTCTAACGGAAAAAATAAAAATCCAAAAAAGAGTTTTATTTTTGACGGAAAAAAATTAAACTCATTTTTAACAGTTTTTAACGTTTATTTTTTCCGTTGAATAATAAGCCTTAACATGGGAACTGAGAGTGTTTTCTCAAGATCGCTCAATGGGCTCCTCAATATGAATCTATTGGTATATGACACTATAGGTGTCCCATGTCTCTACATTACATTACATGTCTGTAACATTACATTTTATTCACTTGGTTTAGATGAATTTTCTATAAATATTTTACAATACAATTGGCTTTTTATTTCAAATTTTAATGAACTCCCTAAATCCTCCACCAATATATGGCATTTCTATCACGCTACTCCCAAACAAATATCTCATAAATGAAAAGAATTTTTGTTGTGGTTTTTTGAAAAATTATTTCCTCATTGCTGCAATAGTTTTCGATGGTAAATTACAAATAATTCTCTTTTTTGTCACCGGCAATAGTCACTTTTCCAATCCTAAAATACAAATCAAGTAAGCAGCTCTCTTTTGTATGGGGATTAGGCAAAAACGAACAAACAAACATTTTTGCCTAAAATGCAATAAATGCGACAGCAAACGGGGGGAAATGCCTGTAAATTGGGATAAATCTAAAATTAGCCTTAAATCTGGGCAAACAATTCGCAAAAATGGGCTATGCTGCAGGAAAGATGGGCAACAAGCCCACTCAGCCAAATAGGAAATATTTTAGGTAGTAGGTTCTGATTTATTTTATTTTCATGATGGTGTTTGTCGGTGTCGTCGACCTCTCTTCTCTGTATATTTGTCTCTGACACCTATTTTGATGATAGATTCTGTAATTCGTTGTTGTTTTTTTGTTTTAATATCGAATTCAGATTCCTTGGTAAGTGACAGGAATTTCATTTACATTTTAAATTTACGGATAAATTTGCTCTAAAAATAATATCTCGTGTGTGTGTGAGATTTGTACCTAAAAGAAGTGGAAGTAAGCAGCATTATCTGAAGATGCTGGGATCAAAAATGGTTGCAGTGGCGTGGTAGTTCTTTTTAGGAATGAGAAATTGTGAAGATCGTATTCAAGGGACTTTTGAAAAGTCAAATTAATTTTATGGATTTTGAAAACTCTCCTAAATTAGAAAGAAGATTGGACTATTTTATTTTTATACCCTCCTTCATAAATTGAAAAATTTGCCTTTCTTGTGCAATATTGTAAGGGTTTCGAAGTTTGACATAAATTTATATAGAAAATTATCAATACAGGTCAATGTTTTGACATATCCCCTCCCCCTATTAAAAGTCCCGCCTAAGTTTCCATATTTGAGAGACTTCCACACCAATCCCACAATCCAGATTCTGGGAAGATGGAACACAAAAACAATCTCGTTCATGTTTTGACAAAGCCACCATATAAATGTCCCTTTCCATTTTCGGGTTTTTAAGGTTTTAGTCACAGTTTCCCCAACGAAGTGGCTTAATTTAGCATTACAGGTTCTGGGAGGGTGGAACACAATTTTTACAAATCAATTTTCGGTTTGGATCCATGGTATGACATAGCACCAATATAAAGATCCGCCACACTTTCGGTATTTTGTGGGTAATTTTTACTGAAGATTTTTGATGTGGGTTCATATTTTGACATAGCTCTAATATTAAAAATCACCCTCAACATTGTCCTTATTTTGAAGAGTTAGGATAATCAAGAACATGTGGCTAGTTCCCAGCGAAGTTGGATTCCGGGTAAAGAAAATAATTATTCTCAGATTTTTTAAAATAAAGTTTAATGTTTTTAATTACATTGAACCCAATCCTGAAGTGTTCCTATTTTTTCGATCTTAGAGTAAGTAATTTGGTATTTGATTTTCAAAGATTTCCACCTACTAGGCCTACCTACTTAAAAGCTTTAAATAAAATAAAAATAAAATAAATTTTTTGGTCCACACATTTATTTAGCTAAACGTACTTAGTACAACTTGACGTACCACCATGTGTTGTGTTGTTTACAATGACTTGAAAACTCAATTTACCAAAAAAAAAAAAAAAATGGAATTAACTCATGACATCTTTCCTACGATAATTTTTCCGAACTTTCGACGCGGATTATAATGACCAGGAACATAAATCTTAGTCTGACAGTGAAGTGAGTCATTTATTTTGAAAGTGGTTTAAGTCCATTTCAGGTTCTGATTCAAAATCTAGGTTTTCTAGAAATGGTTACGAAACATATTACTTTAATTGTTCTATAATATTAAAGGGCCCAGAGTCACAAACAAAATTAATACCACTAAACAGTATTTTTGTAACAAAGATCGCCATGTGAAAGACATTTTGACGAAATTCGATCACAATACTTCAAGTAAGATTGTTACAGATTTCGAATCGTGGGTCTCTGTCTGGGAACCCAAAACTGGTCATTTGGCGATAGTTCCGCTTTGGGAAGTAGATATTGCTGTAAATTATGAGTGCTACATCACAATTTGTTTGCTTGAACGAGGATAACAAGCCAGCGTATATTGACCAGCACCAAATGACTCCTCTTCAATTCTCATAGCCAGAAGATGCTTTCAACCCATTTTCGATAATAAAAATTTGAATTTTCATTATCAAGTCGAAAATTATATTTCGATTATTCAGCACTAACGAAACCATTCAACAACCTCAGCATTCATTTTGACCTGTACTGACTCCTGTACGTCGTTTAAATGCAACAATGTTGCATAGACGTTGTCACACTTCCACAAATATTCTCAAGTGCCGCATCTGATTTGCATTCTCTGACAGATACTCAAAGTTTATTGTTTTTTTCGTAAATGTTGTTGTTTTTTTATTATTTATTTAAAAATTTGTTGTGGTTGGTAAGTACACCACACTCTGTTGTTACCATAGTATTTGGGAATAATGATCACCACCGGCTGCCTCGCGTTGCTCATTATGTTGTAAATAGTAAACATACGCACGTACGTACGCACGCACGAACACATTGAGATTCAATTAGATTTCAAATGGCACTTTTCTAATACAAATTATTCTCTACGCGAAACTTGGCAGCAATTCAAAGTTTTGTAAATTTTTTTGTTAGCCTTAAGAACAACAAATAAATCAGGCAAGCCGCCGCGCACCAACAAAGTCAATTGCCATTTGTCGTTGTGGCTGGCTCCCTGTCTCGCTTTGTCGCGATATGTTGCAAGTTACAGAGACAAGTCTTTTCTAAATATTGGCTAAGGTAGGGAAGGCAGGCAATATTGTGCTGAGTACTTGGCTGCCGGAAAACAATATTCTCCTAACATTTGATAATTGTAGTGGGCCCCAAATGTTAGATCCCGCTCCCAGATTTTGGGTCTTTAATCAATTGACAAATAATTTCAAATTAGCAATCAATTAGAGAGCAACCAGCAGCAGCCCCTAAAACAGTGTAAAAAAGAGGGCGGGGGGTAAAAACATCAACTTAAAAACTTGACAAAATATGACAACGTCCACTAAATATATTTGAAAAAAAAAACGAACAAAGCTTATTTAGAAAATAATTTGTCAAATGTTTTTTTGAAATGAGCAAACCAATCTATGTAGACATAATTAATTGTAATTAATTGTATTTTTTCTGTTTTTCTTTTTCTTCTCCTCTCTTTACACAGCAACCGCCCAATTGGACAGTTCAGAGAAAATCGTTGTGAAGGCTATTTAATTGTCGTCATTGTCCCCCAGACCAGATCACCGGACCAACCCAAACCCAGCCAACGTCTTTTGTTGTGGTGTCATCTCTCTAAATGCCAAAAACAGTGAAGAGAACGTAAAAACAAAAGGAATTTCTGCCCAAAGAAAAAACAAAATATTCATCTCAAAAAGGATAGACACAACACATTCTCACATTCGACAAAATATTCCCAAAAGAACATACAGTACCAATACATATCTAATAATCTCACAGATACAAATATCAAGAGGAAAACGTGAACGCACGACGTTTTTCTAAAGCCAGCATAGGAAGAAGAAGAAGACGCAACGACGACGACAACCAGAAGCTATAGGAACATCATCGTTTGCCGTTGTGCACATTTTTAATTAAAAGCAAAACAAATATACGCGCGCTCGCTCGCTGAACGAACAACAGCGGTTGCAGTAATAAAGCAAAATTAAATAAAACGGCAATAAAAATAAGAGCTTCAATGAAACGATAAAAGACACACCGGTCAGCCAAACAACCAAATAACCAACCAACCAATCACCAACACCACCACATCCCCAAAACCAGTGTTTCTTCCTGATTTTGGAAAAAATATCATCAAGTGTGAGCCTAAGTGAAGTTGTTGTCCCCGAGATTCTGCAAAAAAACTGCTACCTAATCCGCGCATCCTCTGTATGTCTTTGTGTCCTTAACCAAATACAAATCGAATTTGTATAGCCTGAAAACACAATAACATTGTTATTTGTTTCGTTTGTTTGTGCATATGTGTGTGTAATTGCGCTAATAAAAAAAAGAAAATCCAGCGAGAAAATAAAACGCGGAAACCAACCAGTAGTTCAATTTTATGAACTAAGCCCAGAATTTAAAGCCACAGAAAAAAAGAGAAAGGAAAACAAAAACTTGTCATAGTCGTCACCACCTACATAACTGTAGTTAACACCATCATCCCACAAGCAGAAATAGCAACAGCAACAATAACCACAGCAATAACAACACCACAGCCACCCAACCAAACCGTAAAAACAACAGAACAGAACAACAAAATGGAGGACAATAACTCAAGTACGCAAATTAAACATGATGATCCATCGGTTACATTAACAATAAGGCTGATTATGCAAGGAAAGGTAAGTTGCGCGACAATATATTTTTTTAATACAAAAAACGAACAAAAATATGAAACATTGAACAATTCTCTAGGATTTTAAATATTTATGTAGTCATCATTGTCAGCTATTAAATTTGACATAATCCAATATTTACACACCACAATATTACAATTTGATAATGGAAACGATATTTATTACGAATCTGCAATTTAAATTGCAAAATACATTATTTATAAAAACTTTCTGTTGTAAGGCCAACGAAATTTTGAAAAAAATATATATAAATAAATAATTCCGCCTCTATGCTATTTTTTGTTTTTTAGACAACGATTCGTTTGTATCACCTCGAAATAATCACCTGAGACCCCATTAAATATATTCTTGATCTGAATTAAAGTTTATGTAGATTTAACCATGTCCGCCGGTCCGACTGTTTAAATCACGTTACAACTCGCAATATTTAAGACAGAGCTTTGAAATTTTGTACATACATTGCTACTACTGCTATGATTTTTGATATTGATGATATCAACATCGGGCAACGTTTTGGTATTTTGAAGGCTTTGGCGGAAGCATAAAGTGAGTTACAGTAAAAGTATCCACTTGGTTTTTATACCCTCCACTATGGTATGGAGGGTATATTAATTTTGTCATTCCCTTTGTAACTCATCGAAATATTCATTTCCGACCCTATAAAGTATATATATTCTTTATCAGGGTAAAATTCTATAACGATCTAGTCCTGTCCGTCCGTCTGTTGTAATCTCGCTATCTTCTGAAAGAATTGATATAGAGTGCTGAAATTTTGCATAGGTTTGTCTTTTGTCTGCAGGCAGGCCAAGTTCGAAAATCGGATACATTGGTCCCCGTTTAGACATAGCTCCCATATAACAGTACCCCAAATTTTCGGTATTTTGGGGTTCTTGAGCTCGTTTTTCAACCGAATACGCCGAAATTTGGTACATTATATTTTATAAATTATAAATATATGTCCACATTTTCTGGTAGCCCCCATATAACGGTACCTCCTTATTTTCAGTATTTTGGGGTTTTGATAGTATTTTTCCACCGAATTTGCTGTAATTTTTTTTTTTTTAATTCTTAATAGGTACCAAATCTCTCCACAAAAAATTATAAATATAGGTAAATTTTTTTGGGTAGCCCCATATAACGGTACCTCCTATTATTCGGTATTTTGAGGTTCTGGAGCTCGTTTTTTAACCGAATGTGCTGATATTTGGTATTTTGTAGTCGTATATGGTAACAAATCTCCCTACTAAAAATTTTTAATATTCGCCCCCTTTTTGGGGTCGTCCCCATATAACCCCCTTTTTATATTAAAACAGTTATATATCTTCCATGTTTGGGTTTGGTTCTAAGACTCTGGTGTAATCATTTCATCTGCGGAAGATAGAAAAAAACTAGAACATAAGGTTCGATAATTAACCTTATATATATATTCATATACATGAACTGTAACCCGCATTTAGGCCTAGCCCCTGTGTGGGAGGTACCAGAAGGTGTAGACCGATATATTCCCCATGTTCGAACTTGAACTAATTTTGGAAGAAGTAATACGATGGGCAAAGTTTGGTCCAAAGAAACATGGGGTTTAGCACCAATATTTAGAACCCTAATCTGTTTGTAGAAATGTCCGTCAAGATACACTTTTTGGTATGTTCCCCATTTTTTATTTCAAGTGCCTGTCAGTATATCTATGGTGGAGGGTATCCAATGTTTGGGGTCATTATCTTGATAAAATTAAAATGTTGTCCCCTATCCGAAATTTTCCGCACGACATTTCAAAGTATCCATAATTCCTTCAATAAAAACGAGAACCTCCTCCGGGCTTTACGACCAGAATTGGGTGCTTAGGGTCCACGGGTTAATTAGCCCTGCGCCATACCTTACTTGATCCATCCGACCCAAACAAGTTAAATTTGCTTTCATTAGCTTGATGTAGCTCAAACATAAATGTCCTACCTCATTTTTAAGTTTTTAACTAATTATCTCATTGAAGTGTCATGTTTTCGACCTTACACCGATTATAAGACAACAATTGAGTTTGTGTTCTGTTCTAATTGTTGTACACAAAAAATCGAAGGGCACACTAAAAACTCTGAAAACTCAAAATGGATGATATTACCAATATATGAAGGAGACTTTTTTTTGATAAGACCTCTTATACATCTGAAACGTTTTACAACCTCGACAAACGTCATACGAACCCAATTTAGTGCATTGTAGACCTTTGGTAGAAGTATATTTATGTCGCTTTTGTTCATTTGCTAGAAATCGGATGGAAATAAATATTTTAATCAATAGGACCGTCGCTATTGGGCCTATATTCTATTACTACTGTGGTGAATATAGACTATTATTATTGACAAATTTTCAATATTTCAGAATCATTTCTAATTACTGCAGAGGAAATAGTAAGCGAAGTTAACTCAATTTTTAAATACTATATACAACAATTGGATATAAGCATATTGGTTAAATCTCTTTGAATATACACATTACCCAAAATCGCATTGGTTCCGGACTGCTGGCATATTAGTCACCTTAATCGACTACGAAAAGTTTAAAATAAATTATTTACAAAAATGTAACAAGAAAAATGAGATAAGATTAGATTATTTACGCAAAAAATGTGTCGCATATTGCACTTAGATACCCTTTGTCGTACTGTGAGCATACAGTGCTTTACGCTTACTTGAAATTGACAACATACGTTAACATAAAAGGCGGATATATAATTTTCAGGAGGAAAAATTATGCAAGTGTTCATGCCTTTATTAGTTTGCGTAAAAATGTTAAAAAAAAACACAAAGAGAACACCGAGGGAAAAATTTATGTCTATATATTTTTGCCTTTGGACTGGACAATTTTTACAATTCAAAACAAAATTGTTAACAAACTTTGAAAAAGAGAATATTTTCAAACACATAGTCGACTACTTAATACTTAATTCTATTGTTTGCTATAGTCTTCTTCTTCATTCTCCTTATATCCGATCCTGTCCTATTGCAATATGCACAATCACACGCCTTTAACCACAATAAACTGTATTTTGCATTCGAATTCATTTATTTTGTAATTATATTTATTTGTTCTTTTAATCACGTTAGTTGTTGTGTCTGTGACCGCGGCGACCACCGCTGTCTCATCCCACCACCACTTCCCCAGAGTCAACCAACCAACATAGTTTACCATCGATATATTTACCCTCCCGATTTTTTGAGTTAATGCCAAAAAGTACTCTGTCGATGTATTTATTGTTGTTGTTTTTGATTTTCCTCCTTTATTTATAATGGGCAAATGAGTATCTACCGCTTAAGTAGTCGACATACAGACAAACAAATAAACAAACAAACAAACAGATTCATTGGAGGTATAGGTCCGTTTTTCAGATAGATTTTACAATGAATTGTTGATAGGAGGAACGACCGTGCGTCCGTCCAACCACATAACATCATAGACGATGCATACATACTGCTACATATTTAAGTATATCGGATGTGTGTGTGTCTGTGTCAGGAATTAAAGCGTTATGGCGTCTTGGCATGGTATCTCTATGGCTGGCATAGATGTCGTCTCGAAAAAACCGAAAAACTTTGTGTAAAAACTATTTTATGTTATTTTGCCAATTTTTACGCTTCGTGTAATTTTATGGCTGCATTTTTGTAATTATAGTTGTTGTGCATGGATGGATGGTGGGGAGGGGGATGCTACTTCGTCGATGTCTGTAATAAGTTGTGGAGCTTAGCTATGCGATGCAACCAACGACAATGTAAACTGGCTCTCAAAGGATTTTTTGCAATGTTTTAGGGATTCTCATCGTTTGGAATTATGAAACCCGCCGTTAGAAACTCACATCACAATTTGTTTGCCCTCAAATTATTTTTGTCTATACATATTTTTTGGGGGATTGTTGTGTAGTAGTCCGCCAGGACCACTCACTAACACAATTTCATTTACACACAACCACAATTATCTTGGATATCTGTCTCTTCTGTCGCCCTGTTTAACCAAAAACGTCATTGACAAATTTTTGTTTAAAAAAAAGAAAAATACGAATTTTGCGATTGTTGACGTTTGGGCTGCTGCATTGTCGTAAATCCACCTGCCGATGTACATTAAGATAAATATGAACCAACTAACAAATGAACCGAGTGAACGAACAGCAGCTATCGTTATGTTCGTTATTGTTGTTATTGCATGCTTTTTTCACCAATTTGATGATGATGATGACACCGCAGAAGAGAACTACACACGGCATACAAATTTGTAACCTTTAATTAAATTTTTGATGAGAAATCTAATGTTTTGGCTGTTCCTGTCATAAACACATCTCACATTTATATAAAGTTTATTTTTTTAATGTGTGTTTATGGGTAGAGCTACACTGTCGGGTATATCAATTTAAAATATGTTTTTGGTTTGCATATGGTATTTAGGATTTTGATTATCTTGTTGGGCCTTAAAAATTGCTTTTGACAAATTTTGAATTTTCAAGTGATATTGTGGTTATTTGAATCCTTCGCATGTAATAACATTTTTCAAAAACTAAAATAATATACGGAAGAGGGGGGCACCTTTGAACAGCACTCTTAAAATCTCGGTTAACATTTTTCCGACCTGCAAGCATTTTTTTTTATATGACAATCTTATTCTTTATCTGCGTAGACCATGTTGGCTAGCTTTTTCAGTTGTCGACAAAATTTACATGAGTGACCATGTTTTTGCAGTGCCATTGTAAACTTTTAATTTTTTGGTTGTAAGGGCGCAGGGAGAATTTAGTGATAGTTTTCTTTCGTTAAACAATTTTTTTTGTATTTTCTTTCATATATATTTCCTACAAAAGCAGTTATTATAAATTTCCGTAAAATGCCACAGGTGGGGCACCTTTGAACATACCCAGTAAACTGCAGTATAAAACGGAGTTTTTAACTTTGGCTTCGTTTTCTCATAATTCCGAATGGGCTAATAAGACTACGAAATTAGCTGTATTTTTC